AAATTATGAAAAAAATCCTAATGATCATGATCATGATACTATCATAGACAGTAAGAAAAAAATTACTAATCTCGCATTGGTTTATGTTTTAACATCAAAAATTTAACTTTTATCACATCATGTTAAAATTCAAGCATGAAAACATATATTCAACATCATATTAAACATCTAACTAGTTATTTAACTATGGGGAAGAGTTTGGATGAAGATAATCTTACCTTAGATGTCGTTCTAAGCTTCTGAAATAACCAGCAACCAAAAAGAAGTACAACCAAGCCGTTTTCCCCTTGCTACACGTTGATGATCTCGCCCTCGTGTCGATATTTGCTTCACAAAGCTCTCAAAATTCTCAACTTTAGGGCTAGGGATTCAGAGAGAGGAAGAGGGGCTGCTAGGGTTTGAAACTCTAATGTTAGGATGTTAATTTTCATGAAAACACATGTTTATATATATGCAAACCCGAAATAAACCCGTTTGACCCGAACCAGGAATCCTAATCTGACTAGGAAAATGACATTCGGTATTTTGGCCATAACTTTCACGTACGATCTCAGAATGAGGTGGTCTAAGATTTGTTGGAAATCTCTTGAAGATACCTATAACTTTTGTCTTTTAAGTTTTCCAAATTACAACTACATCTGTGAGAAAAATATAAAATCTCTTAGCTGGTCATAAATTTCCAGATTTATACATCGAGCATGAATTGTGCATTTGCTTTTATATATATACATATATACATTGAATTGATCTCAAACCAATTCCTAGCATACTCAAACATCATAATATGTTATTTATAAATATATAACATATTTATTATTATTTATCACAAAATATTCAAATTTTTGGGGTTTTACACTATGTATTTTTATTCCTAGTTGGACCGTTTTGTAATAAGGGTATGTTTGACCCATATTTTTATGTCTGGGATGATTTACCATGAATGATATGTTTATTTCTTATTTTGGATTGTCTTTATATTCTTTCTATTGTGATCAGGGACCTGTGATTGAGATTTATATATTTGACGCTTAGCGTATCAGATTGAGAAGAAAAGGAAAAAATAATAGTATATATTTCTTCTCAATATAATACGTCGCGGGCTTATTCATGTTCCGATTCCGGGGTATTTTAGAAAGCGGGGCGTGACATTCCGATTCCCTGGTATTTTGGGAAGCGGGTCGTGACAGGTTTTTTTAGTGACCCATGCAGGCCACAGTCTCGAGTTCCTACCAGTGAGGATATAATGAATAATTTAGACGTATATCATATTTCATCCGTAAGACTATAGTTAGCCCTTATCCTATCATCTCGATGAATTATGTCTTAGTCCCTACCTTATCACTTTTTGATTCTGGATCTTCCCACTGTTTCTTATCTCATCACTTCTCGACTACACTCTCCTTGTATATCTTCTCTTTCCTCGTGCCGGTCATTATTTTATATGTTATTATTTTTACACTATGTTTTCTTTGATTTTACTTATATATCGTTTGATTGTATTGATTTATGTATTATTTATTACATTATTTTATGTATCACACATAGTGTTATATTATATGTTTTTATTAAAATATATATCATTACTTATACATTTTCAATTGTTCAAATCATGTCATTAGATTTCACATATACATCACATAACGTATCTAGTATTTAGATTATTTTATTGTGTTTAATTATACTTTTGCATATCTACATTATATATGTGTGCGTTTTCTGTCATACCATCTATTATTTACTTATGTTTTAGATTATTGTATATTGTTCATATTTTTAGTTATATACATTAATAAGTTCATGATTTTAATATTCTACATATACATTACATTCTTATTCTTTATTTATTCAACTCACAATATTTTCAGTACACAGTTTTCTTATCAGCCAGTTTTGTCTTGTTTAGATTGTTTTAGTATGTTCACATTAGTTTCGTTATTTTTAAGAGCAATGTATTTCTATTTTGATATTCAAGCATTTATTCACATTGTTAGGTTTGGAGTTTGGGTTACTAATTATATATGTTTCTGTTATATTATCTTGTATCATTAGTTATTATTCTTTTATAACTAATATAAGAGATAATTCTAAATAGCGTTGTGGGTATGTATGATATTCACTCATGGGTTGTTAATAGTGCATTTTCATATTTACTGTTTGTTGCTTCATTTTCGATATGTATTATTTTGTCATTACGGCAATATTCATTGTATACGCATGTTATTTTTAGTGTTTATTTTATAGTGTTTTTAGATTATTATGTCCTTTTATTGTGTTATTGGTGGTTGTTCATTCTCTATTTATTATTTTTGTTTACTTGTGTTGTGTTTTACTTTTTCATTCTTTTATACTTACTATTTTCTTTTTATTATAGTGTATTCACATAGATTATTATATTTACGATGTATATTTTTTTATAGTCATTTATCAACTTTGTCTAATCATGTTCTGTTTCATGTATTATCAGTTTTTATGTTCACATGTCATTAATCATTCATGGTATGTTTATCTAAGATATATCAGTGTTTTTATTATACGAATTTATGTTGATTGTATTTATGTAATTTTTGACTACTATGCAATATATTACTACATCTGAATTGATTTTATATAGTAACGATTATTATTATTGTACCTTGTTTATTATTTCACCTTATGAATATTACTAATATTTCTAATTTATTATATTATTTGTCGAATATATGTATAATTATGTCCTTCTTATTATGTTTTATATAATATGCTTATTTTGAATCACTTGTTTACTCTTACGTCTATTTTTATAATATTTTGTGACTATTTTTATCATAATTTATCTTGTTAGCATGATTAGTACTATGAGTATTCAGACTTTTGTATACTTATTATTATGTATGTGCTTTTATTTTTTAATAGCTATTATATATGATGATTTTATTTGCCATATTATTGCTTAATACCTGACTTAGTGTTGTGCCTTGTATGATAATTATTTAATGCCACATGCTCTTAAAAATTTGATTATAACTACAACTATTTATTGTATTTATCACCCATTGTATTGTGTATTAAATGTTATATTTTTGCTTTGTTCATTAATGATCTATATGTACCATAAGATTGTGCGTTTTGTGTGTATTACTATACTTATTTGATCGTTTTGAAATGATTGCTTTGATTATACAAACATATTAATAGTTAGTTAACTGATTTTGATTTGTTCATTTCTTGCATTCTAACTGATTTATGTGACTCTATTCGTCATGTTATTATTCTGAACTTGCATACTTGATTTATTTTATACATATATGATTTACGTAAATACTCTTATTATTGCTTATATAAATCTTAATTTGTTTGATTATATGTGTCTTCTTGTTAATTTAACAAATAATATTCATGATTTCAACTGAACATGATTATTGATTTTATATCTGTTTGTGTGATAATAATTTACTTTACATAATTCATAGAATTGATGACTTTATTGCTTTACAGATTTATTTGTTCTTATTGATACCTTCTCCTATTACTTATTTGATAATTACACGATTTGTATTTCTTTTTGTTTTAAGTTACACTATATATTTTATCATAATAATCTTGTTGTATGTTAATAGATGTCCCGTACATTTTGAATGATTCGTGTATTATGAATATGTATTCATGTTATTATGATACATAAATTTATATTTTCTATGTATTTTTAGATAATTATCACCTTTTGTGTCTCATGTGTACTAAATATTAGCATATTTTATGATTGTGATGTATTTTTAGATAATTATCACCTTTTGTGTCTCATGTGTACTAAATATTAGCATATTTTATGATTGTGATACTGCTGTATATATTATGACATAAATTTGTCTCATGTGTACTAAATATTAGCATATTTTATGATTGTGATACTGCTGTATATATTATGACATAAATTTGTCATACACTACTAATTGTTCTTTCTATGTATTAATTTTGAATTGCTTGATATCACCTTATATTAGTATACAAATATTTATTTTTAAATTGTTATATGTCTATTACTGTAGCTTTTGATAAATACTTTGTAATTTATTTTTCTAAGTGTGTCTGACAAAATTGATATTATGAACTGATTGTGAGATTATAATTTTATCATTTGATATGTATATATTATTTAATTGATGTTATGTTACTTTGATGATTGAAGTAATTTCCCATCCACCTTTATGAAAAATTGATTATTGTGTGTTATGATATTATTATTGTGGTCTGTTTAATGTATGTTGAATCTCAGCTGTCACATTTTATATCTTATCTTGTGTTGTTATTGTTTTACATTCTCCTATGTTTATGGATATCGTTCCATATCTCTGTCCTTGGGTTCTTTCTGCATCACTTTTATTTTAAATTCTGAGGATGAGATTTGTTTTAAGGGGGGTAGGATGTAATGACCATAAAATTTTAATAATGGTTTAAATAATTTTTCTGGTATTTAAATATTAAGATTTATTTTCTAAAAGAGTATTTGTATTTTCCCTAATTTTCTAGAATTTTCTATGATTTAAAATACGATTTTATATTTATTTTAATGGTTTTACTAATTATAACTTTAATTGTTACGGTAAAACTTTTAATTAATATTTGGTTATTTATTATTATTATTATTATTATTATTATTATTATTTGTTATTAATTATCTTGTATTAATTTTTAGACTCAACCCTTATCCTCTATCTCTATTTATAGCTGTCAGGTGATCAGCACGATAGTCAATCTGTTATCTAACTTTTCCCCTGGTTCCCACTCTCCTCCAATCAATACTTTCTCTCTCACATTCTCTCTCTCTCCCTCACCTTACGGCAACTCACCCTCTCTCCCCTACCCCACTCCTTCGTGTTTTCCTCCCCAAATCCCTCATCGTGTTCACCCCCTTCTTCTCTCTCTTCTCTTATTTCACGCACCCTACACACTCTCTCACTCTCACATCTCTCTCTCTCTCTCTCTCTGATTTGGAGGAATTTAGGTGCATTAGCGAGACTGACAATTGCACCTGAAGATACCCCTTCAGCAGCTGAGATGGAGGCGTTAAGATGATGACTAGCAGGCGATCCAGGTGCTGAAGCTGCAGAGGCGATTGAAATGTTCAATTGCGAAGGGCTTGAGGTCAAAGCCATCAATGCTTTCGCTTGAGAAGAGCTAGGCCCAGCCTCCGTTGGGGTGAGTGAGATCTTCATCACCGCTTTTGGTGAAGCAGCTACTACAGAAGAGTCAGGCAGGGGTTGCTCTTGCATAGGGGCTGATACCTGCATGAGCTGTTGTTCCGGAGGAGGAGTAGCGGCAGTGGTTTCAGGCAACGCTACAGGCGGAACAGTCGCCGTAGGAGAACCAGGTAAATGTTGCTCTTCTAAAGGAGCCGACACTTGCGCAGGTTCTTGCTCTAAAGGAGCAGCTGAAGTAGTCCCGGGAGTAGGTGAACCTGCACGAAAAAACGGTCGGAACGCAGAAAAAGCATGTGGAAGAAGTCGAAACAAACCAAGCTTACCGGTAAGATAAAAAGGAGTATAACCTGATGCTTTATCAGACGGGACCTTGGGAGCATCATCATCAAAAGTGGTGACGTCATCAATGGAATCATTCTCATCGTCATCTTCACCTTCACCTGACATGTTGCCAACATCAGCGTCCTCATCACCTCTATCTCTGTCAACTGCATCACCAGCTGGGGAGTCGTCATAGTCAACTCGCTCCTCATCACCCGGAACAGCTGAAGACTCCGGAAGACTTGCACCAGCGGCTGGGCTTTTCATAAGTCCCGTTGTAGGACTAGGCATTAAATCATCAGCTTGTGACATTAATGCTGAAGGAGAAGGAGGTGGATTATCTTCGAGACCCCCTGGCTCCAACGCAGGAGACCTAGGAAGATCCATCACCGGAGCAGATTCTGCATCTGCAACCATTAATTCATCTTCTTCGTCCTCAGGAGGATGATAAGAAGAAACTTCGCCCGACAGAGCTGGACCGTGAGAACGAAGTCCCGCTCTGTGTGGCAGGCCAGCCACAGATGATTTCTGTGGTTCGTCATCTTTAGCAGCTTTAATGGCCTCAGCCATCAACTTGGATTTTTGTTGGCCTCTGGGGGGAGAATCCACCAGCAACTTTCGACGGATCTGCTTATCATACTGGCCAGCTTCATCAGCAGAAAGTTTTCTTTTCCCCGCTGCTCTTGTCATAGGAGGATCAGCCGCTCGTTGTTCTTCCACTGGAACGGGCTCAGCTCCTTGTTCCTCTTCCTGTTCGGCAGGTTGACTCTCAATGGATAGAAACTCATCGATCCCCCTCAAGCGAGACGTCTTAGACCCCTTTCTTGAATTATACATATGCCTAATGTCCTTCAGGCAAGATGTATTCAAGTTGAAGTTGGGAGTCTGAGAAGCAGCGTAATACCAATTGCAGAAGCTGATGGAGGTATAGGAATTAGCAGTTTTGTGGGGAAGCTTGAAGATGGCTTTGGTACAACCTGCCACAGAATAATACCAAGCCCTGGCTCCTTCATATAAGTTGGCTATAACTGAGAGTTGAGGACGAGGGTTCCCGACATACAACTGATCATACCCAAATTGGCGAGCGAACCTGTAGGGTTGGTAAGGCTCGACGAAACAGTTGGCGCCTTGTCGAAAGATCAGGTAGCCTGGCCTGATGGATAAAAGCCAATGGAAAACCCCCCCGCTCAGCTGAGTGAATCCATTAGGACCCGCCGTATCCTGATATTCTGCTCCATAGACACCGCCTTCGAAATCAGGGAAACAGCGGTAGATATGGAAATTGGAATCTCGCGCTAAGATTTGGCGAATTCTAACCATGTAACCCCCTTCCCATTTCGCGGACTCTAGTCGTTGCACAAATGGGGTGAATGAGTCTCCCGGGGGAGAAGCTGCACTCATTATAGGAGGACAGTGGAGCACGTACCAAGCCATCAAATATGTATATGGCATCGGCACCCGGGGATTGGGAGTTTTGAAGGTCTTGTGGCCCTCGGACTCCACCTCTGTAACATCAACAAAGTCAGAGGCCAACTCCCGCAGTCCATACTGCAGACAACCCACCATAGCACTGAGGAGGCTCACAGGTCTCCCGTGCGCCAAAAGGACAGCTGGGTAGACCACCTCAACGGCAAGGGCATCGATCGGCCTAGTAGGGATGACACAGCGTTTGAGCCACAGCATTAAGAATCCGGCTAGCAACGCTGTGTCGGAAATCGGAATCAAAGCTTGATAATTGAAGCTCTCGAACTCCGTATGAGCCGGGAAAACATCCTCTTTGGCCTCATTGGTGTAGTGAGAGGTAGCGTCGTCGATTCGAGCCTGAACCTCCTCCAAAGTACTGGCAGGCAAGCGGGTCACTGAAGCTCCCTTAGTGGTCAAGTTATGGAATAAATATTCCGCCCAAGACACTTGCTTAATACCGCCTCCACGGACCCCCGTCAGCTGCATGCAAATGTGGAAGTGACACATGACTTCCCAGAGAGTGGCATAAATTTCCGGACTGGTCTTCTTTAAAATCTGGAGTTCCGCCGAGCCCGGAACGAACTCTTCATACGGCAAATCCCCGAGAATAAGACCCGAGACTTCGTGCATCTCGTGAAGGGCGAAGCCTAGCTCCCCCACAGGGGTGAAGAAAGTGCAACTATCAGGATTATACTTCTCCAATATGGAGAAGAAATAAAAGTGGCTCTGGATAATCCCGAACTCAGTAGCCCGCACAGGAACTAGCAATCCAGCTTGGGCAAGAGGAGTTTCCAATTCTTTCAGAACAAACTTGGTCATCTGGGCCCACCATCCAGCCGCTAGAGAATGAACCCAGCCAGGAGTTCTAAATCCTTGTGCAGGGAACTCTCCCTTCTTTTCCAAGAACCTCTTAACAAAGGTTTTCGCCGGACTGGGCACTTCTCCAAGGGGATACTCCTTAGCGAATAAACTCGGCCGTAAAGCTGTCACCTACCGATTATAACCAACGGTGCGGACCCCATGGAAAGTCAAGGTCCCGAGAGCAACCCCATCTTGATCCTTAACCAGGGGCCAATCCATACGCCTCGGGACAGAAGCGCATTGGAAATAAGATATAGGGAACATCCTCTCCATGTTGGGAAAGAAAAGGTTGCGGTCCTCAACTCTCCGCAGCCACTTATAGTCCCCATCATAAACAGTGCTTGCGTTGAAGTCAACAAAGTCCCCGAAGAGATATCCAGGTTTGGTTATGGGCTTACGGCTTGGGCTTTCAAGTCGAGCGTCCGAAACCAACGTCCTGAGAGTGTCATGAGAAGCTTGGGTGATCAGTTCCACGCGACTCTTCTCCCTCATCCGGAAAACCGGGAGTTCTAAACGCGAGCTGAAAGTTATGTTCATGTCTGCACCACCTTCATGTCCAAAGTGGTGGCGAAAAAGAAGAGGCTCGCTGGTATGTCGCACTGCAAAAAGAAGAAAAGAATTAGACAACTCAAAATCAAAGTTCAGACGCGAAGGTCGAACCCCGCGTCAAACAAGCACAGACGTGAAGGTCGAACCCCGCGTCAGACAAGTTCAGATGCGAAGGTCAAACCCCGCGTCAAACAAGCCCAGACGTGAAGGTCGAACCCCGCGTCAGACAATCTCAGACGCGAAGGTCGAGCCTCGCGTCAGAAAGTTCAGACGCGTGGGTCGACCCTCGCGTCAAAAATCTGAGACGCGGAGGTTAAACCCCTCGTCAAGAAGATTAAACGACGGGGTCCAGCCCCGCGTTATGGGAACGAGTTTCTTCGTTAATTTCAAGATCAGAACTTACCGGAGCAAGTTTAATGACCACGAAGGTCGTACTCACCACCAATCAAGGGGAGTTGGGGCGTCACATTCGCCTGAGCAGCGGCGCCGCCGGTCGGTGCCGACGGTGCTGATCCTCGAGCCACAGCGGCATCAGGCTTGGAAGCGACGTCAGACTTGGAGGACTTCTTGGGTGCCATGGGAACTCGTCGGAGAAGATGAGCAGTTGCCGCCGGAGAAGAAAACAAAATTTTTTTCGTTAAATTTTCAAGAAGAGTCGAATGACTCTTGATCTGACCCCTAGCGGTCTATTTATAGACAGCTATGAGCTGTCAAATCCTAACGAACGGGATTCGAGGCCATCAGCCCGCCCAAACTCGACCCTCGCGTTCGACCCGCCCAAGCTCGACCCTCGCGTTCGAGTTGATTCAGCTTCCAAACGCGATGCTCACCCACGCGTTCCAATTCTCAAATGCAGAAGGCATCTCTGTGTTGAGACCACCATGAACAGCAATTTCTTGGTTACCAAAGCGATCAAAGCCAGGAAGAAACAAACGACTCCACTGGGGAGTCTGTTGGAGGAGTACAGATAGATTACAGTCAACAACGGCGAAATCATCTGACTCGATCAGGCGGGAAGAGCAATCAATCCACCAAATTCTGGGATCCAAAGTATTCCGAAAATTCGTCCCAGTCAACCGCGAACTTTCGAAAACTTTGGAGGGGGTTCTGTAGGCGGTCTAAAAATCACAATAGATAGCTTATCCAAACAAGCTCCGACAATGGAGGTCATAATCAGACGACTTCCTAATCACTGCATCTGCAACTCCACAATTGCCACAAACACAACCTCACTTCTGAGATGATTGATCTTGATGGCGGCGACAACAGCATGGCTAATATCATAGAAACTATTAGAGATGCTGATGAGCAGTGGGACGATTTCAAAAATAAAAGGTTGGACTCAGTTGGTGAGTTGCTTGGTAGAGAGCTGTGGGCGAATATTCATCTTTAAGACACTATGGATGTTGATTCTCGTCTAGCTCCTACAACGAAAGCTACAATCAAATAGTTATCGGGTCGGTGAACGAATGTTGCGAATGGAGGGCTTTTCACATAGATCGAGAAGAGTTACAATTCAACGACACTTCCGACGACGGATGAAAACTCTATTCAGCAGTCTTCACAATCTACAGTGAAAGTTACAATCTGACGGCTTTCACACCCCACAACAGCTAAAGCTAGGATTATTGAACAACGGTCCTTGCAACGCTTTACAGAAGAAGTTACAAGTCAAATGGCTCCTTCTAAAACGCGGATGTCATCCCCGCGTCACCAAGTTGGAAATGAAGGCGACCCTCGCGTCGTCAAGCCACGGCGACCCTCGCGTCGTCAAGCCACGGCGACCCTCGCGTCGTCAACCAACAGCGACCCTCGCGTCGACAATGCACAAGCCAAACGTGAGCGACCCTCGCGTTCAATGGTGTTCAACCAACGGCGACCCTCGCGTCGTCAATGCACAAGCCAAACGTGAGCGACCCTCGCGTTCAATGGTGTTCAGCTAACACCCAACTTCGCGTCTCAATTCAAAGAACACGAAGTTGAGTTCTAAACGCCAGAATGGGCGTTTGACTTATTCAAACATAAGTCGAACGGTTCCAAAACCGTTTATCCCACGTTCTGAGGGATTTTCGCCCACGTAGGAGCGGATATAGGGGTCAGTTACAACCTCTTATCCCCCTATAAAAGCTCAACGAACTCAACTGAGTTAGGGGTTGGATTTTTGGCATCTGAACCACACAGGTTGGATTCAAAAGATCTAAACCATACAGGTTGGAGATTTTCAGTTCTCAAACAAACTCGACAGAGTTAAAGGATCGGATTTTTGATAATCAGATCAAGGGTTGGCTTCTTTATCATCAAAACCACTCAGGTTTGGAGATTCGGCAACAACAGCAACGAAATCCTTGGAGATAGGATTTTTGAATCAACCTCAGAAGATCAAATCTGAGAGGATTCTTCGACAACAGAAAAACAGCTTGATCCTTAATCGAATTTTCGGTTCCAACAACTCTATTCACAGAGTTCAAACTCGTTCAGAGTTCTTAAACTCATTCAGAGTTATTCATAAAACTTTCCACGAAAGTTCATCGTTCCCACGAGAT